CTCTTTCCACCATATGGCCGCAAACAATGCACTACTGCTCACTTGGTGGCTGCTTGCCTTAATTGCAAGCGGGGTGGGGATCACATAGCGTTGTAATGTCAACCTATAAAAGTTTATTATAGGACACCTAATAGAGCCATACAAGAGCAACATTTTGTAATTTTAGGTTATTTCTAAACATGTATGTACCTTTTATTAATTACAGACTATTTTTGATGGCTGTAGTGTGGCAAAAATGTATGTTCTGTTAATAGAGGTTAAAGGAGCAGTTCATAGGCATTACATATTACCAAGGAGCACAGTTTTCCATGGCATTTCTTCTGCCACATTGTATTCGTCATATTTAGATTATATATGAATATTGTGAAGCTAACTCAGTTCGTATCATAGAGTCTCCTCACTGTAGCATGTGTGTGACTTTTCTGAGTCTCAGGGTTATTTTCCTTGCTGTGTTTTATCTGCATAATTAACAGTTGTGTTGACTTGCAATTTCTTCCAAGAAGATAAGCCTTCTGTAAACCAAACATTTGACCTTTCCCCCTCTGCCTATCCACCTCGCCAAAGTAAAGATTTAAATAAAAGAAGCATCCAATTCCAGGTGGTTTTTCTGTTTGATGTGGACTCAAGGAGCTATGAGGTGTGTGTGTGTGTGTGTGTGTGTGTGTGTGTGTAAGCACACACAGGGTGGGGTGGGGCGGATTTGAATAGAAGTGGTCACTTTGTGTGCTGTGGCTGCCACAGACAGAAAGGCCACAAACGTGCATCCCAACAGTGGAAACACATGGCTGCATCCTCGAACTCTGGCCATACATGAAATGTTGTGCCTGTTTCTGGTTGCCTTCTTTTTGTTCCAGGGGAGAAAGATGGGGCTTATTACTCCCGTATGGAGTTACAGCCTGGGAACCCCCGGGGCAGTTCTACCCGGCCTTTACCGTCACTGTGAGTCGCGTTGATGGCAGAGATGGTTTTTCCATTGTGGAGGATTACTTACAAATTAGAATCTACAAGGTAAAACGGCATCTCTGTATGTGTCATGAGAGGAATAGTTGGACTCCCTTGGAATGGTTTCCCTGTGTAACCTCAGGGGAAAGTACCCCAACCAATAGGAAGGCAGCTTTCGGTCAGCATGAGGAGGGAGGAAGAACCTAGCGCAAGAGCTGCCCAGGTCGCTTTGTGCAATAGCAACGTCTCCTTACTGAAAGTAGTGCCAGGAAGCCGGGTATAAAGCCCCTTCGCTGTGTTGGAAGGGAGGTGGGCCTGTGTTAGTACTGGGCGCCTTTCTGAACCTCCGATTCTCTGTTTCCAAAGAAACCTGATAAATGAGATCTTGACCACAGGATGTAGGAGACAATGGGAAGCAGTGAGCACACCACACCTACCAGGAACAATAGGCTTGTGGGACAGCCAGAGGCTGTAAACAGTGCAAAAAAGAAATCATTGACCTTTGTGCACAAAGGACCTTATCTACAAAATGAAGGCAGAACATACAGATGGGGAGAAAATAAGTCTTAGTAAATACGACTTAGAAAAATAAGTCGTACGAACTAAAGGTTTAACATCCAAACCATGTAAAGAATTCAGTGGAGACTCAAAGCCCATCTGTAGGCAACTGGACACCCCCTTACAGAAGGGTCGTGGGGAGAAGACCAGCCAGTCAGGGTGCAGTGTAGCAATGATGAAACATACAACTTTCCTCTAGTTCCTAAATGCTTCCTCCCCCCCATCCTACCCCCACTATCTTGATCTCAATTCTACCTTACAAATCCGGCTAGACCAGAGGATGTACTGGTACAGATAGGAACTGGAAACACAGAGAATCCAGGACAGATGATCCCTTCGGGACCAGTGGTCAGAGTGGCCATACCTGGAGGGTGGAGGGAAGGTGAGGGAGGGGGGAACCAATTACAAGGATCTACATATAACCTCCTCCCTGAGTAATGGATAACAGAAAAGTGGGTGAAGGGAGACAGTATAAGATATGACAAAATAATAATTTATATTTTATCAAGGGTTCATGAGGGAGGGGGGAGCGGGGAGAGAGGGGAAAAATGAGGAGCTGATATCAAGGGCTCAAGTAGAAAGAAAACGTTTTGAGAATGATGATGGCAACAAATGTGCTTGACACAATGAATGGATGTATGGATTGTGATAAGAATTGTACGAGCCCCCAATAAAATGATTTTAAAAAAAAAGAATTCCTAAAGCTTAGCAAACCGTTCAATAAAAAACTGGACAGAAGATTTGAACAGGCATTTCTCATAAAGATATGCAGCTGGACAACCAGCACCTTAAAATGCACGTCATGTCAGTCATCAGTCCCGAGGGACAATGAGAGTGAGGAAATGGCGAGGAGGCCATGCCTGACTGCTCTGGCTGCGCAAGAGACAAGGAGAATCCACCTGCACACAAGCCCCGAGCCAGGTGCCACACAGCCGAGCTCTGCCATGCCCCACTCTCCCATCTTTATCCTGCCACCAACTTCCTCCCGCCACACTCCGCTTTCCTGCGGGGTGTGAATATGTGTTACAGTAGCCACAGAGAACCCACAGACAATTGTGGGGGTTTGTTAAGGAAGTTAAGGATGCTGCCATTGGACCACAACCCCACCTCTTCTCTGCCAGCAGCCTAGTGTCTCTCTGGTCCCAGGCCTCTCAGCCAGTCCCTTGGCCTCTGCCTCTGTGCCCAGGAAGTGCACCTCCCTGTCCCACCATCTCACATCTCAGGAGTGCAGCTGCTCGGCTCTCTCAGCCTGGCTCCGGTGCTCTGTCCCCTGGTCTCTGTGCCTTAGCCTCTGATGCCACCGTAGTAAGGGACCTCGAATGTGCTCTACTGGTGCCTCCTCTTCCTTGATGGTCCTGGGATTCTCTCTGTCCCCGCTTCTGAGATGGCTCTCATGAACAGGGGACTGGCCGCCTAAACTGACCAAGCCCCTATGTTAGTATTACACACCCCTGCATGCATATTCCCATCCAGTCATGTAGTGGGAGTTACAGAAACATGGATAGAAGAGCCCTATTAGGAAATCTTACGTCACCATAAGGCTTCAGAAGGTTCAGGGGGAAAATTCCATTTTTCCCTGAGCTTTTTGATGTACCCTATTTGGGAAGAGTGGTCCATTGGAGATAGCATGTGGGAGGACGGGGATAAACAACGGGGTTGGAGGCAGAGCATCATTGTGCAGGCGATCCCGGGAGACACGGGCAGGTGAAGGAGAAGGCGTGGGAAGACCAGCACAGCCGAGGCTCCCTTCCCCGGTACAGCTGAGCAGGGAATGGAGGCAGTGAGCCTGGTCCTGATAACAAAGTCACCGGGTGCTGTAGTGAACGGTGGGAGTCAGGATGGAAGGTCAAGCACTGATTGAGAAAAGCGGATTGAACATTTTGATGAAAGAGGCCATGTGTTTCAGAAGTGCTGTCACATTGTCCACACCTAGCAACCCTGCAGCACAGGTAGACCTGCCCCTGTGGTTCTCCAGACGTCCCCGTCTTTACAGAGGCAGCCACGCTCACCTTTCTCCGGCCGAGCTCAGTGTCGCACCTGCACACCAGCATGCTCTGAATTGGAAGGGACCCGATGGCAGTGAGATTGGTATTTTGCTTTATCGTATTTCTCACCCAGAGAATTAAAAAGATGACCGGGGCTTACCTGTGGTGGGACAATTGGGAGTGCAGACGGAGGCCTGTGTGTGTTAGCTCTGTGTCGTGGACCGACCAACAGTTGGCGAAAACAAAGAGCCATTCTGAGAACGGGGGAGGATTGGGTGGCATTTTGTTCTGTCGGCCACAGGCTCCGAGCCGACTTGACGGCCCCACACAACATGTGCGCTACCGCTTCACAGCCACAGTGGGCTGCATGGTCTAAATGTGCTGTTCAAGCAAGAAATAATTTGCTTTGAAAGCAAACTTCTCTGAGGCAAGAAAGAAATTTTGGAAACCGTACTTGATGAAATAATATTTGTCATGGATGAGGAGTGTATGGGGTGTGTTTTGGTTTTGGGTAGATAAAGCCCCCCCCCCCCACTATTATCCATGTGACCAGCCCTCGATACATCGTTTCAAAATAACTTACGTATTTGATTTCCAAAGGAAAAGGCTGTCTGATGCTCATTGTCTCTAAAGTCCTAAGTCTTGCCTTGTAACGTTATTAACAGCATTATTCTCTAAGTTGAAAGCCACAAGACAAATCAAGAAAATGAGAGGACCATTACTACGCTAAAGGACTCCTTCTTTTGACTCTATGACAAATAGTAGCCAGTTGTCAGTTTTTGCGGAAACTCCGAGCAATCTGTCACCCTAAAATAGTTTTAGGGACAAACTAGAAATTTTATCAACAGTTTAGATTTGAAAACTGGAATTTTGGGGGCTGTGCACTATACATAGAATATGGGTTTTAGGGTATGTACTATATTCTACAAACAAAAGGGGAAGGACAAATAAGTAAAAATATATGTGAATTTAAGTAAAAAGCAATAAAGAGATAAACAAATTAAACTAAAAGAGAGAGAGGAGCCATAGCCTTTAAGACCCATCAGGTCTCATCATCAGCCTGAGTGGCTCTCCAAGGAGGAAGAGTAAAACTGAGAGGGGCTTAGATTCTCTTGTGACATGCAAGTGGTTCAAACAAAAAACCAAAACATTAACATTTTTATATTGGCACTATCCAACAAACAGTACCTAGAGGCTGAAATTATTTCCCTATATTCCTTAGTGTTATATTCTTATCCCTTCATTTTGGAAACTTGGAGCTAAGAGAACTTTGCCTTAGCGTCTTCATTGAAGTTTTCTATTGAAGTTAGAAAATCGCCTGAATTGCCTGCGTAATCTATCCCTATGCTCATTTTATTTTCAGCATGCAGACTCTTTTTTTTTTTCCACATTGAGAGTTTTAAAGAAAAGCTGTGGTATTGAAATGTTTTATCAGTACAGGTAACTAAAACACTGTTTTTCTCGACACCGGACTTAGGAAACAGAAGTGATGTGACTCCTCTGGTTTTCTTTCAGGTCTTCGGATCACGGTGCTTCTGACGTCCTTCCTCATGGTTTTGGGAACTGGTCTCAGATGCATACCCCTGTCAGACTTAATGCTTAAAAGAAGGTAAATCCTATCCATCACTTGAGACGCGTTGCTCACGGTTTTCCCTTTTATCATGATTATATGACGTGGAGTGGGTTAAAACACTTAATAGAGCAGTTCCGTTTTAAGAGGATGACTACTGAAGGGTCATATCCAGAGAGGCAGCCTTTCCCCCTTGGTGATGATTACTTCCGGGAGCATTTATGAGGTGCCATGTGTAAGACGCTACAGTAGCTCTTGTTGAAATAGAGAGAGAACAGGTTCGTCTGCACGCTCTCCAGAGCCGTCACGAGGGGTGCAGTGTCACGGACTCAGCCCCAGCTCACAGCCACCTGCACGCAATAGGCCGAGACCCTGCCCAGTCCTGGGTGGTCCTCGAAGACTGTAGCCACCATGTCAGTCTCGGCCACTGAAAGTCTTCCTGGGTTTTGTCGACCACCTTCTGTCTTACCGAATGTGTTGCCTTTCTCCAGAGACTGGTCTGACATAAAAACATGTCTGAAGTTCATGAAATGAAGTTTCACCTCCCTCATGTCTAAGGGACATGCTGCCTATTGGAAAATTATAGTGTAACGTAAGAACCCTATGATTAATTCCATAAACCAAACACCAAACAGGTTGCTGTTTAAGTCAACTCCAGTTTATAGCAAAATACAGGACTGAAGTACGGCCAGAGTTCTCCTTGGGAGCAAGGGTGGCGAGACTTCATGTTAACATACTTTGGACAGGTTGTCACGAGAGGCTGGTCCCTGGCGAAGGACATCGTGCTTGGTAAATCGAGGAAGGCTCTCAAGGAGGTAACTGACAGCAAGGCTGCAACAGTGGGCGCAAGCACAGGAAGCGCTGAGGACCATACAGGACTGGGCAGGGTGTCCTTCTGGTGCGCGTAAGGTTGCTATGGGTCAGAACTGACTCAGTGGCCCTAACACCCACAGGACAGGACAGAGTGTTTCCTATAGGGTGTCCAAGGCTGTGTGTATTCTTCATGGAAGGAGACTGCCAGCTGCTCCCCCCATGGAGTGGCCGGTGGATTTGAGCCACTGACCTTCCAGTTAACCGCCAGATGCTTACCTGAGACGCCACCGGTTCCTGAGTTAGACCATGGCAAAGGTGTGAAATGGCCCGAGACAGAGAAAAGCTTTGCTGAGTTTATCAACAAGAAGCCTCTCTTGCATGAGGTGATAAGCGACCCAAGCCCTGGAGGATGAGGACAATTCAGGTATAATGTGATTAGTGTAATTAAGGCAAGGGGCTTCGGGTGTGGGAGAGCAGGGCCAGCAGGTCAGCACAGGTCTCATCTGGGATGGACGGGGAGTTTCCTTTGTGGACAGCTGTATTTCTACAACTTAGCTTCATGGATTTATTCCCGGGGGCAGGAGTATATGAAGATTTAAGGTGGTTCTTTCCATGTTGATTGTAATATTAATTATTTTACCTATAATAAGCTTCAATTAGAAAACACTTTTATCAAACGAGACCTCAATTATTATTTTTTTGAGGTTGAAATTGCATTTATTTTTCAAGTTTCTGAAGTTTCCTCTTACGTTTAAACCATTGTTATATGTTTTTATACATCACATACCGGATATTCACTTAATATCATGCAGCAAGAACATGGGCGTTCTTTTTTTAATCATCTTTTACTTTTAAAATTTATTATTAATTGGGAATTAATACATATATCATTCCACAGTTCAGTCACGTCAAGCAGTATTGTACAGTTGCTGCCACAATCAGGTTCCAAGCATTCTTTTTCCTCTGGACTTCTTGACATCATTTCCCTTTTATCCCTCCACCCCCGTCACTATATTCCCCCTGCCCCCGAAACCCTTGCTTTACTTGCAGTCCCTATGGGTTCATCCGTCCTGAGTTGCATATAGCAGAACACAGAACAGCAGGTAGCACAGCTTCACGAGTGTGACCTCCAGTGGCATAACACCTCTGAGATACACCCTAACACGAGCGAACAAGAACAAAACAACACAGAAGAGGCTGGAAATCAGATCAGGTCCAGCATGCATCAGAGGGGAGAGCCCACTGACAAAGTTTTAACTGTTCAAGTCAGATTTACAAGCCATCAATTCTTAATGTTTCTCAAATTGGAGTCCAAGTGTGTCCTTGAGAGACACAGAACTTTCCCCCCCTTTAAACAGAACGCACAAATTACTCAATGTTAGAAAACACTAGTGTGTAGAATAAAAGAACCGGGATATAAGAAGAGGAGGTTGGAAAATGGCATTCTGATTACAAAGGGTCTTTTTTTTAAATAACAATTTTCATTGTGCGTTAGTTGGGGTGGGTTACATTTCAGAGCATCAGGTTACGAAGGTCTTGATACCATCCTGAAGAATTCGACTTTCTTCACCAGACTGAGTAGCCACAGGATGAGACAGTGTCAGATAAATAACTGATGTGAGGTATGTGGATGGGTATAGTGGGTAGAGATTGCTGACCGGAGACCCACAAAGGTGCAATGAGAGCCCACAGGGGAGTTGTTTTTGTTTTTTTTTAATCATTTTATTGGGGGCTCGTACAGCTCATCACAGTCCACACATACATCCATTGTGTCAAGCACATCTGTACATTTGTTGCCCTCATCATTCTCAAAACATTTGCTTTCTACTTGAGCCCTTGGCATCAGCTCCTCATTTTTCCCCTCCCTCCTTGTTACCCCTCCCTCAATAACCCTTGATAATTTATAAATTATTGTTATTTTGTCATACAGTACACTGTCTGACTTTCTCTTCACCTACTTTTCTGTTGTCCGTCCCCCAGGGAGGAGGTTATATGTAGATCCTTGTAATCGGTTCCCGCTTTCTACACGCCTC